CTGAGGCGACACGTCCTCTCCCGCGCAAGACTCTCGGTTTCTCAGCAGCCCCGGTAGGCAACACCTCGGTAGGGACACGAAATCTCCCTCCTATCACTCTGCTAGCAAGCTCATCAAAGCTGAAAACGGCCAGGCCTCAATCTATCCCTAGGACTCACCCCACACAACACCTAGTCTGGTGGTTTGGGCTCTCGCGGACATCCCTCAAGCTATACAGACTGGCATAGACGACCTTGACGACCTGATCTCTCAGACGGCCGGAGCGGCTATCCCAGCATCGCTAGACTGGATTGAATCTGGCAAGGCTCGTGAGAATCCGAGTTTCTTTGGCATTCTTTCAGGGCTTGCCATTCCGCGACCTTCCGCATAGGGCATACTATCAACGACAAAGCTGCACCAGCCGCGGCCAACGTTCCCAGGGCTCGCTTTGGCTTGGGACGAAGACACCTACCTCTACCTCGCACTTGCTCTCTTCCATCCTTTAACAAGTTCATCCCTTTCTTCTGCTGCGTGATATCGCTACCTACACAACACAAGGTACAAGACCTTGCAGTGTTGTGCACTGGATCAGTGCCAGGACTTCTGAACAACTTCACCAGGCTCCTTCTGTCAACCAGGTTTGTTGCCCTTTCTTCGTCACAGTCATTGCCTTCTTCATTGTGTTTTTTTTTTGGCTGGGAGTTGTCGTGCTGGTCCGCATGGCCATGGAAGCGCTCGTGGCGTTAAGTCGGACTGCCATGCCATGACACGAAGCCCCTTTTCCCAAGTCGCGCCCCTATTCACCATACCACTCACCTCGATACACCGATACACCGAGACTCACCGAGTATCATCGGGCAATGGGGCCTCGACTATGACCATGGCCTCTTTCGTCCCATGCTTCCTTCAGGCTCCTGCCCAAGTCGTTTCTGCTTCACTGGAATTCCTGTCCCAGTTTATATCCTTGACGCTCTTTTTCTTTGCCCTTCCCAAGTCCCAACCCTCTTGTCTCTTTCTTCAACCTTCTACTCCCCCTTGGCAGGCATACTTACCACACAACTCAAACCGCCCGAACAACCCCTTTTCATCACTCTCTCTACCTGCAAATAGGGCATTTCTTTCTCAGCAAGCTGGTAAAGAACCACGTGATCATGGCTGACCAGAAGAAGCAGCCGCCCTCTGCAGTCGATATCCTGAGCATTAGCGTTGGTCTCTGCCGTCCTGGCACCAGCGTACCCAAGAACCCGATCGCTCCTTCATCGTATACCCCTGCGAGATACGGCCAGAATTTTGCGAAGGAATCGACTCCATCCCAAGCTCCTTCAGAGATTTCAACCGAATCAAGGGATCCATTCCAGATGGCTCACTGCCAGCTCCGCGGTCCCCTCGTGGGCCCGCTCCGTGAGCGACGTCGTTCCGAGCTTTCAGCCCACCACGTAAGTCAATCAGCTCCTGATATCTCGCCAGAGGCATGGCTGAGAAGCTTTGGCATGTGAACTGACAATGTCACAGCCCGTCTGGGATCAGGCTCGCAACTTCCAGTCTGACCTCATGACCATCCAGCAGGCCATCCGCCGCGCGCCTGGCATCCCCAGCAAGGTCTCGGAAGAGCTCTGCGGCGTTCTTGTCAATCAGTCGCAGCAGGTCAACAATGCGATCCGCGAGACTGTTGACGATTCGTCCGAGTTACGTATTCAGGTCGAGGAGGCCAACATGGCCATTATGGGTCTCAAGATCAACGATACTGCTGTCAAGGTCGACCTTGAGCAGAACCAGAAACGCATCAAGGAGCTCATTGAGATGGAAGAGAAGGCCGAGAACCGCCTGGCAAAGTACCATGCCGACGCTGAACAGGATCGCAACGAAATCCGTGTCATTCTCGCTCGCCTCACTGCCAACGAAGAGGAGGAGGCGAAGGCCAAAATCAACGACGAGCTCATCGCTGTGAGTAGCAACTAGCATGTGTTCACCGTTTCCCTTCCACTGACATTCGCCATTGCAGACTCTGAAGGAACAGCTGAGCGCCAGTCACTCCATCGAACCGGAGCCTGAGAGCAAGGAGCCCACCGCCATCGACCAGGCCATGGCCAAGTTTCAAGAGGCGCAGGCTCAGGAGGATGCGGATGGAACTGGCTCGACCGAGGCCAACCCTGCCAACCTGCCCTCTCTCGATGTCGCTGATCTCGCCAACGTGACTCCCACTCGTGGCAGTAACATGCACCACGTTTCTTCGTATGGAAACCGCGATATTGTTCGAGGGACCTTTGCCGGCGAGTCAGCCTTCTCGCCTCTCAACATCAAGAATAGCGGCAACGGCCTTCCTAGCACCATGCAGCCTCCTTCCTGGACCCGACCCAACAGCCGCGGCATGCCCGAGAGCATCAACGGCCTCGGCAGCAACATCATGCGCAGCGCCACTCCTGCCAGCCAGAACGGCTTCAACGGCGGCGGGGCCATCGTGTTCAGTCGCCCCATGAGCCGCATGGGTCAGCATGGCGGAGCTGGTCCTCGCTCCGGCCCTCCTGCCTTCCGGCCTAAGGCCCCGGAATTCCATCCTGGTCACAATGGTCTCAACGGCAGCGGCAGCGGCAGCGGCAGCGGCTCGGGTCACGGCAATGCCATTGTCCAAATGTCCAACACGTCTTGGAGCCAGCACCAGCGTGGCTACGGACCCAACCAGTCTCCCGGCCCACACCACGGTCATCCTCGCTCCCGCGGTGGTTCCCAGGGCTGGCAGGATGGTCAGAACGGTGGCTTCAACCACTCCGGCCCCAAGCGTCCCCAGTGGGCCAACAGCCAGTACGACAACCGCGCCGTCGTCGCTCGTTCCCAGCCCGTTATCCCTCTCGGCCAGACCTACGGAGGCATCACTGACGACCTCGGCCGATTCGAAGAGGCTTTCCAGGAGCTCTTTGGTATTGCTCGCGGCTTCATTGGCACCTGGGTTGGCGCAGAGGACGCTGCCAACAAGCGTGAAGCTGCCATTATTCAGTACCTGCCCAAGGTCTACCACCCGTTCACCGAGCAGCAGGCCTGGTCCTACATTCGCCAGCATCTCAATGACGGCCTCGCCCGCTCTTGCCTGTTTGCCCGTGTCGTCGTCGACTTTATCGTTCAACGTATCCTGGTTCCCACTGCCTGGCAGGGCTTCGGCTTCCAAACCGATCGCCGCATCCAGCAGGTCGACGAGGAGCTTTCTCGTGGTCCCAGTAGGTTTCTATTTGCATTACATGCATCTTGTTTCCAGCATATCAACTAATGCTTCTAGTGATGACCGGCTCCGCCCGCAACGAGTACAACAGTGCCGTCAGCGAAATCGTCAACTCGATTCTCGACAACGAGCGCTACGAGCAGTACCGCGAGAGCCGCATCGAGTACTTCGCCACGGAGCTCCAGAGCATGCTCGGCCCGCTCATGAACGAGTTCGCCGACCTCGAACAAGCCGGCAACGACCTGCGCTCGGTCGTCGGCAAGGCCTGGTCCCTCTCGGCCAAGACGCTCACCTCGCGCATGACCTTTGAGTACCGCTTCCCCGAGGCCGGCTGCCGCTTCTCCATGCAGAGCATGGTCGCCGTCGCCCCCAGCATCGACGGCTACGTCCTGCAGGCCGAGCACTGGCGCGTCCAGCTTGTCGTCACGCCCGTCATCACCGTGCGCAACGACAACGGCAGCACCCTGTCCGTCCACGTCACCAACCTCGCCGAGGTCCTGCTCATGAAGTGAGGTAGAAGCTGCTCCTGCTTCCGATTGGCATTGCATGGTCTTTATTGCTGTGCTTTTGTAGCCTTTCGCAGGGTGGCGTCGATGCATCGAGCTCTGGCACACGTTTTGCACTTCCTCTTCAGTGAGGGACCCGTGCCTGCCCTCTACGGCAGAGTTACTCCGGTGCCATGGGCTCTCACCTCCCAGCAGCGATGAGGTTTGGCTTCCAGCCGGCTTCTTTTCGCGGCTTATGCTTTATGACGATGACGACACTGTACGAAGATACCCACGCCGCATCATTTTCCTGCTCTTCGTTTCCTTCCGACGGCCACTTCATGAGCGTTCATGATGCTGTCGTCATCGATGACTGGCCCCCGGGCAGTATAGCCATCGAAACCCACAGACGACAAACGCGCACATCGTATTTTCCTTTTCTTTCTTCTCATTCCGCAGCTTCGGGTTTTCGGGGTTTCGCTATGCATCAAGGTCCCTGGAAGACTCCACGCTCGTCACGCTTCGGATCCAGCCTGCCTTCTTTTCGGCAGACTTGGATGTAGTGAGACCGAATGTGGTCGAGAGCTCCGACAGCACATCACGAGCCGAAAAGTGGCCTCGGCAGTTTGGCCTCGTCTGACTTGGTTCTACAAGGGACGGTTTCTTGCGGTTTTTGTTTTACATGTTTCAGGAAAGGGGCCGGGCTTTTTTTCGCCTCGACTACGCCGTCTGCTGCGGCGGGCTTTTGACTGCGGCAGCTGGCGAGGGGCTGCCGTGCTCTGCCATGGGGGCCGAGGGACCAGTTGGGAGATGCGTGTTTCGCCTGGTCAACTGGTCCTAGGTGGATGTCGGCTGAGTGAGGAAGGCTTGGTCCCCATGGGCGTTTCGTTACGAACACTAGAAAAACAAGAATACATCGGTAGCCGTTCCAGTATTGCGTGTGATGAGCTGTGCGACTCGAGATATGAGCCCCTTTACTTGACGCGCTGTAGGCGACAGGCATAACTTATGCTAGTAGGTCATCATTGCATCAAGGCAACGTAAATGTGAAATTGGTTTAGACAAAGACTTGCAGGATTTGGCAAAGTGGTCATGATTTCAAAGGCCAGCAGGGACTTCAGTATTATCGACACCCATCAGAGGCAAAGAAGACCCCGTTCTAGAAAACATTTGGAAGCACTGGAATTCATGTGAGTAATCCTGGGTATCTCGTGTCCTTGCTACAGGCTCTCCTGAGGAGACTAAAACGCCGCAACACCTGTGAGAACCGCCCATCTGAGTAGAAACACCGACGGGTCCCCGATTATGGAGCGAGATGCCGCGCAGATCGGCGGCTCTCGCCGCTGGCCCTCCGCCTGTCGAGCCTCTTGACAACGGCACCCAGCACTACCTTCAATATGTTGCTGGCGGATAGCGTGTTGTCGCCGCCCTTGTTCCACGTTACGGTATCGACCATGTCTCTGACACCACCATCAACGAGCTCAGCCAAGCCATCGTCGAGCTCCTTCAAGGCCTCACGCGCGCCCTCTTCGTTTCCGACCTGGAAGAACTGGATCCCAACCTGGTACGGAGGTGCATCGATCTTGTCAAGCTTCTTGGCGGCGTTGATGAGGACCGTCTCGACATCATCAGAAGGCACGCCATCGGTGATGACGATGATATTTATGGGCTTGACGGACTCAATGTCGGCCTCGTTGGCGGCGCAGAGAGCGAGGTAGGGCTTCAGAATGGCGTGGAGGCGAGTGCCAGTAGGTGTGCCACCAGAAGGGCGGACGGTGGAGAAGATGTTTTCGACTCTCGCCGCGTCGTTGATCCCACGGAAGCCGCCGGCAGCAGAGCCCTTGACGGCGGGCTGGGCGGATTTGTGGTTGAGGAAGAAGAGGTCGATCCCGTCGGCGTCGTGGGCCGTGCAGATTGGGGTGATGGCGCGCAGGGCATCTTTCACCTCGCGCCATGAGCGACCAGCCATGGAGCCAGAGTCGTCAATGACGAAAACCGTATCAAACTGTGCCAGGAAAGCATACGGGTCCTCTTCATTGGTGACGCTGGTCAGGGAGACCTGAGAAGTGTGCGAGGGGGCGGGAGAGGTACTGCGTGGGGCCGGGGTGGGGTTCTGGGGCATGGGACCGGTCCCGACCTCAATACTGGGAACGTCGGCGTAGGCAGGGGGGGGTTCCGGTCGGCGAGTGGCGGGAGATGGATTGGAGAACGGGTTGTTGTTCGTGGTGCGGGCCGCCGGCGTAGGTGCCGGGGCAGAGGCCTGGGCTGGCGCCGGTGCTGGCGAAGGCGCGCGTGCTGACGCAATGTTCTTGTTCGTCGTGGGATCAGATGGGGTTGTGTCGCTGGACTTTCTCGACAGCTTATCCTTGACGGAGCCGAAGAAGGATTTACGCATGGCGACGGTGTCTCAGTTCGCAATAAGTCTGAGAAGGGTCGCCGGTAGAGTTGGGGGAGAAATGCTCAACAGAATAGCGAATTGCCCGTGGATGGTTGCTGATTGCTTTTTCGATCACGGGGCGTACCAACAGGCCACCAAGCGTTTGGTAGATGAGGCCTGACGACGGAGGTTGGGTGAAAATGAGGGGTAAAGTAATAAAGTAAGCAGCCGCGAGAGCGAGCGCTTGAGCAATCAGGAGACGCAGTCAGGGTTTGAGGCGCTCACGTTGGGGGCGTACGGTCAAAGTAAAGATGCGATATTCTATTGACGGATTCGAGAATGGTGGTTCCTTTCTTTAAGGCAATCCATGTCCACTGCAGCAGCTCTTGTTGGTTGAGATGGAATGTTGTAAATGTTCCAATGTTGTTGAATGGGGGATCAGCCTTGTGAGCCTTGCTGCCACGGTCAAGCGAGGAAATCATCCGCATGCAGCCTGGTCAGCAGGAGCGTTCCTCTGTTGGGACCTTCCTCTAGGCAGCTCCTTCGGCCACTGGTGGTCGCGGCGGCGGTCGGAGATCAATAGAACCAAATGAGGCGACCTGGAGGGAGGAAGGAGCAATGGTTAATGTGGCTGAGGCCCTGTACTTGTTCCAATTCAGAAGGTGCACGCCACACAAGAGGGAGCCAATGCCAGGAGATGACCCGTGCGCTCCTTCTTGACTAGGTGCCTTGCGGTGTGCCTGCCGGTCACTCGCAAACAAGGGAGGGATGGGTAGGTGCACTTGCCTGTCAAGCCTGTCCACCGACTTGGCCGTAGTCGGAGGTGGGGTCCCGTGGAGTACTTGTTAGGACTCAGAGTCTTCTGGAGCCAAGTCCGCTTCCACATGAACACAGAGGCCATCTCTGCACTCTCGAGACTTCCTCTCTCGTCCTGATTTACTGTCTCGTCTCCTCTACCCTTCCTTGCTTACATATCTCCATTCTGATCTCTCTGCCTAGCAGGAAAACTACCTGCGCAACCTACGAGAGCGTACTTGTACATAGTACAGGTAACCGACATCGGGCACGCGGGGCACAGAGAGTGCCCGCTACGAGTCATTGATGCCATACAAGCGGTGTGTTGGCCCCGTTGTATTCGGTGAAGACCGGGCTGCCTTACGTAAGGCAGCGGGGTGCCGTTCAACGGCGGACCTGGACGAGCATGAAAGCCTGAAGAGCTTTTATGTTACCATGTACACCAGGGCCCTAAGCGTCCCAAGCACCCCGAGTCCCCCCACCGGCATGGCATGCTCGGGCATTGACGGTCCCTGCGAGGCCCCGATCATCTCCAATCATGGCCCTGCCTCGACTCGCGATACACAAACACAGATCAACAAGCCAGGGCCTGAAGCTCCCGTGCCTATCTCGAGTGGGTGGCTCTGAGGGGTCTTTGCCTTTTGGGAGTGGATGGGTAGACGGCACGAGACGACACAAACGAGAAGCGAGGAGCGGGAAGCGGGAAGCGAGAATCAAGAATACAGCGACGGGATCGAACAAGAATGCGTGCACCTGCATCTGTACTCCCATTTGTCGGCCCCCCTCCTCATGCTTCTGGTTTATCATCCTGCGTACTTATAATCAAGATACGCCATCATCGCCCAATTTTGCCAAGCGGGCCCTCTTGTTTGCTCTGCCCTCTGCCTCCGATTTTGTCTTGTCAACAACGTCATTCGACTGCATCCTGGTTTTACACGTCTTGAACTCAGTTTTCCACACCACTTTTCTTCCCCGTCTTTTCTGTCCTGTCTTACCCTAGAGGTAGGTAGGCATTGATTACCCACTTGCCTGGTCAGACGAGAAACGCTGCCCGCCATGTTCGCCAACCGCAAGTTCTCCATCAACCGCCACACCGGCGTGCCCAAGCCCGTCGCCGGCACTCACGGCGCCCGGAGGTTCAGCGTTGGAGAGCCCTCCCAAAGCGGTGAGTCCGTTCCTGACTTGTCTTCTTCTCCCTGCCACCGTGGAATCTTTATTCAGTCTCGTTCCTTTCCCTTACTGCTCTCACCTACGAGACTGCCTCATTCAACTCGAAAAGCACTCAGCCAGACGGCGAAGTCAAAGCGACTGCCAATCGTGCGGGGTCCTGAGGTCTGAGTGTCTGGGGAGGGTCTGAGGGCAATGGGCCGCAACGGTTCACTTGAACAGTCGGTCAAATCGCCGATACACCGTCTCGAAGGACTGCAGAGGAGGGGTCTTTGCGAGCCCCTCCATCATCTGCATTTGGGACCTGTCTGACCTGACAGATCACTTTATCCCCCCCTCCCTCCTTCACCCTGGCTCCTCCCGTCTTGGCACTCCGATGACGGCGCCGGCTCACCTCCCCATTCCCTCCGTACTCCGATGTCTAACCCAACCTCTGCCGATACCTTCGGCTCCGTCCCCCGGCTGCGACTGACGACCCTCCAGAAACGCAGTCGCGCACCCATAGGCAGTTTCGCCAGGATGGCCACATGCCCCATGCCGGTCTCGATGCGAGCCGCGCCTCGACGGGCGTCGTCTGGTGCACCGAGCGCGCCTCTGAGTACGGCTATCTCGAGGAGCCCGAAGAGTGGGCCAACCTCGGCCAGGGCGCTCCCGAGGTCGAGGACGATATTACCGGCTGCTTCGAGCGGCCCCAGATGATCGACATCTCCGTCGCCGGCCGTGAATATGGCCCCACCGCCGGCATTCGGCCCCTGCGTGAGGCCGTCGCCAACCTCTACAATGACATGCACCGCAAGGGCAAGGAGAGCCAATACACCTGGGAGAACGTTGCCATCGTCCCTGGTGGCCGCGCTGGCCTCATCCGTATCGCCGCTGTTCTTGGCTCTTCGTATCTCTCCTTCTTCCTGCCTGACTACACTGCCTACAACGAGATGCTGTCCCTCTTCAAGAACTTTGCCGCCATCCCTGTGCCCCTGTCCGAGGAAGACGGTTACCACATCCACCCCAACAAGATTGCCGAGGAGATTGCTCGCGGCTCCTCTGTCATCCTGACCTCGAACCCCCGGAATCCCACTGGTCGTGTCGTCTGCAACCCCGAACTTGCCGAGATTCAGGACATCTGCCGTGGCCGCGCCACCTTCATCAGTGATGAGTTCTACTCAGGCTACAATTACACCAGTGACTGTGACGGCTCCACGATCTCTGCTGCCGAGAATGTCGAGGATGTCGACGAGGATGATGTCCTCATCATCGACGGCCTGACGAAGCGCTTCCGTCTGCCCGGCTGGCGTATCGCGTGGATCCTTGGACCCAAGGAGTACATCAAGGCGTATGTAGCAAGGGCAGCCCCGATGCCACGAAATGGAACTCCAACTGACTTGGCCCCTGCAGCATCGGATCTTGTGGTAGCTACCTCGATGGAGGTGCTAACCACCCCTTCCAGGAGGCTGCGATTCCCATGCTCGAGCCCGAGCTCGTCAAGAGGGAGATGATCCATCTCCAGACGCACTTCCGAGTTCGTTCCACATCATGACAGAGATGGAGAGAACCCCCGAGCTAATGCCTTTGCTAGGACAAGCGTGACTATGTCGTCAAGCGTCTCCGCGAGATGGGCTTCATCATCAAATACGTGCCCGACTCGACCTTCTACCTGTGCGTATCCTGCTCGTCTCCCGTCTTCGCCTACTAGGCGGTTCATTTGGTCTTTCCCTGTGCATTTCTTTCTCGTTCGTCGGTTCTTCGCTGATCAAATAGGTGGCTCAACCTCGAGGGTCTGCCCCGACCCATCGCCGACGGCCTCAACTTCTTCCAGGCTTGCCTCGAGGAGAAGGTTATTGTCGTGCCCGGCATCTTCTTCGACCTCAACCCTTCCATGCGCCGTGACCTGTTTGACAGCTCGTGCCACCACTTTGTTCGCTTCTCGTACGGACCCAAGATGGACGTGCTGCGCAAGGGATGCGACGGTATCGAGAGGGTCATCACCAAGTATGTCGGTCGAAGAGGATACGTCGGAAAGCCCCGTCTCAAGTCGCGTGTGTGCTGACTCTTTGGTGATAGGTACCGCACATCCACGATGGGTAGTGCGATCGAGGAGTAGGCCGATTGAAGCTGACTGTGGGATGTCCGCCTGTCTCCCAACCGTCCCTGACCGCTCTGGCGGCATCCAAAAAAGAGGTTCCCAGTCAGAGCGTTGGAGCATTGGTAAGCGTCGAACGACCCAGGTGAGGGAAATAGGGGTTATAGTGTTGTACCAGCCTGGCCAGGGGGCTGGGCCGGGCATGTCTGGGCCGCGCCACACCATTGGCACCCCTTCCTGAACCCTTTTTAACTCCGTCGGCTGTGACTATTGTAGATGGACCTTGCTGGCTGACTGGCTGTGTAGAGCTCCAGCTCTCAGGTCTCGGAGAAACACGATAATACAGACATGGGCGTCGCGTTGATCCGGGATGGCCAGCTTCTTCATCCCCACTGAAGCCCGACGAGGTGGGTGGCCTGTGGGCATGTCTGTGTGCGTGTGCATGTGTTTAGTTTAGTCGTGATCTTCCTGGATCAGGAGACGGATTTGACCAAGACCAAATTTTCTTTCTCCCTCTTCCAAGACCATGCCTGTCCTGCCGGTCCTGCTACCCGAGCTGAACGAAGATGACCGCCGAAAACCCCCACTGGCGGGCCCTCTCCGCCGCGGCTGGCTTCAAATTGCCTTCTCCAGTACATTCTTGGTATGATTACCGATGGAGACGGCGAGAGCAGACTCTGACATACTTCCACCGAGGTATTCGCCGTGATGGATCCAGAGGGGGGGAGCCATTCATCTCCCTCCCCCAAACCCCTTTCCGACCTGCCGGAAGGGGTCACAACGTTGCCTCCTCGGTGAAATGGTACCATCGCGATCCGCCGGTAGATGTAGGCAAGGTTGCAGAGAAGAACCAAACTCTGCCGCCCCTTGTCCGCTCCTCTACCCTTCCCCGTCGAGTTGCCCGCTCCACCAAACCCCCACGCTTACTCGTAGACAACCATCACGCCAACCCCCCTTCAGGTCTCAGGATCGGATGACAGAGAAGCGAGGTGCAGACAGGAAAGAGGAGACGGGAGGGGGCTTGACCAAGGTTTGGTAAATCTCCGCGGGCATGAGGGAGGGAGGGGGGGAAGACTGATGCGGCGGGTAGGACAGGCGGCTGATGGCAGACAGACTGAGGTACAGGCAGACAGGCAGGCAGGCACGAGGGCAATGTTGCCCGCCACGAGAAAAGCACCCGCTGAACCGAGCACGCCATTGCGTCCGCGCGACGCAGTCACGCCTTCCTCCGGGTCCCCCAAAGACCGGGCAGGCAGGCGCCAGGGGCTAGGAAACGTGTCATGGGAACGGCCGCCGGAGCCTTTACACAGGAGAGCCGTTGATTGAAGCTTCACGCACCTACCTTACCCAAGGTAGGCACCTCAGGCTTTTGAAAACGTAGATGCTTGATGTGTTTTCGGCTGCCTGGCTAGGAACATATTCGCTGCGGCGTGGAGCAAAACTTGCCGACTTGTACCTATATGCCTACCTACCGTGTACTTACCTACCTAACCCATCTAGAAAGCGCACTATCATGTCAAGTACACTTGGAGAGACACGCCCAACCAGGGACACACATATTCGTACATGTATTGGGGTGGAAACTGGGCCCAGCGTTCTCAGTCCGTGGGTGTGGCCCCGCACACCTGAGCACGTCACCGGGCCCTGAAATATCGACATCGCGGCTCGAACAAACAAGCCAGACACACAGAGACAGGAAAGACGGGGGGGGCGAACTCCTCCAACCCCCCCCCCCCCCCCCCCCCCCACTCCGCTGTCCCATTCCCGCTGTAGCTGCCTTGCCTTGCCTGTCCTTTTTCACTGCCTACCGGAGTGTGCGTGCTGTGCGTGCTTTCGGTCGCAGGCGGCCTTGCCACCACCATGCCATGCCATGATCACACCCCGGACCTGGCATCCATGTCGTGTCGACCCTTCTTTTTCGCTCATCCCGCTGCTGGCCGAACTGTCGACAAGGAGGGTGCCAAGGCGTCGGCGGAGCATGACGGGAACAGGTAGACTCTAAACGAAAAGGACGAGGAAGGAGGGACGGTCGTTGGGATGGGTGCTGAAGAGCGGAGTGCTGAGCGGCAGGCAGGTCGACTGACTGCCGCTTTTAGGCACCCAGGGGAGCGGCAGCGAGGCCTTGGGCGAGTCGCTTCATTCGTGCCTCCCAAAATGCCCTCCTCTTATTGTCGGATTGCTGATGCACAGAGACAGAGCCTGACGATGGCCCTCCATCTCAAAGCCAATCTGTTTGCAGGCATGCCCAGCAGCATTATCCTTACCAAATGCCCGGTCAGCGTGTAGTTTCTGCGGTCACTGCCGTGCGCTAAAGCCTTGCCAGCCTGGCTCAAGGACGGGAGGAACTATGATGTGCTGCTAGCTACTTGTTGCTCATCAGGGGCCCTGGCTGAGCATCAGTGTTCGTCATTCCGGGGAGATCGGATTTGACGTCTTTCATGCGTTTCTGACTTTGTCATGATGCTGAATGGCGTATGGAACATGATGAACAAAGTGCTGTAATTTCATTCGTGCTGAGCAGGTAATTGCTGCCTCTTA